CCTGTGAAGTGAAGGCCAACCAAATGTACCGCTAGTTTGTCTCGCAATCAATAATTTAAATTCATTTTCTATTCACACGTTTCCTATTGTAGTCAATGTTTCACTTCATATCAGGGCTACTCATATATACTCACATAATATCAAATACGGGTCCGATAAACACCATAATCACTAAACTTCTCATTTTTCTTATTAAAAACAACTTTTAATACTGTATTTGTTTTTAGTAGAAATGTTTATAAAATATTTAATTTATAAATTGTTGTATTTTTCCATCACTTACTTTATGACTGTATTTGCAGTTTAAACTCAATTCAATGCACTGTTGGGCCAAATATAAGTAATAAATTAAAACATTGAATTGTAATGATTAGTGAGTGAATGCATGCACTTTAATGACCAGTTTGGGCACACTTTGGGCTGTAGTGTCGCTAAAGTAGTGACCGATTCTGTATTCTGTATTACAGAATCTGTAATAAATAAGATGATCACAAAATGGTCTCCACTTTGTATATGTCATAGCATTTAACAATTACTTTATATGCAATTTAATGCCTTTAATACTAATATAATTTTTATTACATTAAATAAATTGTTGAAAATGTTTAATCATTTGAAATGCATTTAAAACACAATTCACACAAAGAATTGAAGTTTAAATTGTGTGCAAAAGTTGTAGACATTGTTTGTGTCAAAAGATGTCTCTTATGTTTGCAATGAATAAACGAAACCAAAAGTTATCGCAAAATAAAGACATGTTTTTGCTGTGAATTCAACGCTTGTTTTGCGTTCACGTTATCTTGAATCATTGAATCACTCATTTTGATCACCAATTGATCGCAAAGACAACCCATAGTTGACATCAAGAGTGCGAAGATGTCGATGAATTGGTTCACGTGTTTGACATGTCGTGTGAATCTATTGACCGGCGATGACCAGCGGATCCACTATAAGAGTGAATGGCATTCATATAATCTGAAGCGACGTTTGGCTCAAATACCTGTCGTCACTCTTCAGCAGTTCTCTCGCATCGAAGAACTCCATCGAAGTCCAGACAATGACACCAATGCTCTCCAGAAGACCCGACTCCGCAATAAGTCATCGTTTTATTGTAATTCTTGTGGCAAACAATTCAATAACGAAAAGGCTTTCGCACAACACATGAGTAGTAAAAAACACTTGATTTCTGTGGCCAACAAGAAAGTGGATCCAAATGCCATCGTTTCCGACCAAATAACAGAACCCGAGACTAGAGAAGTAGTGGTTAACAGTATCGATGAGTTAGCCATTGAGGATGATATTGTGGACGACGACGAAGACTCCGATTGGGAAAGTGTTGGCAGCGATGAAGACGTGACAGGAGGAGATCCTATTCTTCCCAATGAGTGTCTCTTCTGCGAGCACTCGAGTGACACAATTGAGGACAATGTCTGCCATATGTCACAAAAGCACTCGTTTTTTATACCAGACGTGGAATACGTGAAGGATTTGCCGGAATTTATCGGTTATTTGGGCGAAAAAGTAGGTTTCGGTCACTTCTGTCTTTGGTGTTGCGATTCTGGCAAACGGTTTCGCACGCGAAGAGCAGCGCAACAGCACATGACAGACAGGGGACACACGAAACTCAATCATTCCGACGACCATTTGCCCGAATATTCATCGTTTTATGATTACACCACCAGTTATCCAGACTTTGAGGCCAATCAACCCAACGATGACGAAGAGATTTCAGTACCACATCTGGAAGACCAGGACTGGCAGTTGACGCTACCGTCGGGTGCTATTATCGGTCATCGATCGCTCTTTCGTTATTACAAACAAAATCTAAAACCTTTGACTGAGAATACGGGCAAACCTCAGACCAAATCGTCGGCAATCTTAGAGAAAGTGATGTCGAAATACAGAGCTCTCGGATGGACTGGTATTACAGGAGAGGCAGCGCTTCAAAGGGCGAAAGATATCAAGTTTATACATCGGATCCAACGAAAACATGAGTTAAAATTAGGACAAAACAACAATAAGAACCTTCAGAAACATTTCAGAAATCAAATCGGATTTTCAACTTAAATGCAAACTATAAACAATTTTATAAATTTTATTCACACTTATTGTTATTATTTGAACTAAATTACAATCAATTTGAGTTAAAAACAATAAATTGAAAGTCTTTATCACTAAATATTTGTCATATCTTTGGAATGAAATGATATTATCGTATATTTAGGTCTGACTTCTTTGGACACCTTTTGCTTTAATTAATTTATTTTTTGTTCAAAATGTTTCGCAAATAACCAAAAATATAAAGTAAAGTAAATTATATAAAAATCAATAAATAAACTGAACTAATAATTATTGTAAACCATATTATAGTATAATATATATGTATATTCGATAAACAAATCAATTTAACTAAAACTATAACAAATTGTTATTTATATTTAGAAGCTTTAGAATTAAGTAAATCTAACTGTTGGTGAGCTATCACATCGTCTTCGCCGACACTTTTCATGGCTAACCCCCTGTCTATCCATTGAATGGCTTCGCTATACTTCTTCTGACTCATCAGAATCTTCGATATAAACAGAATATTCTCTTTCCATTCGGGTCTCAAATCATACGCTTTTCGGAAATGACTCAACGAATCGTCGAACGAAGACTCGGGAACTTTCGAGAACAGAGCGGACGCCACCTTCCGCTCGACCCAACTCAGGTGCGACACTTCGTAGCAAAAGCGGCCCAACATGTGGTGCAGCGACGGGTCCTTTGGCTTCAAACCCAATGCAATGTCTAAATGTTTCTTAAATTGGTTTCCATTCGCGATCTTCTCTTTGGTGGTAATGAAATCACTGAGCGATCCGATGGCTATCGCATACCTTTACAAATAATATCACATTTAATAATTGGCACAAATTATGGTTTAAATGGTTTACCATTTATGACATTCAGGATTATTAGCGTCTAATTCGATGGCTTTCTTCGCATAATCTAATGTTTCAAACGCTAAACTTTTCATTAATTCTTTATTGGATTCCTTTTGAGCTAAGATTCCGTATAAATGCGTTACTTTTGCTGTCCTCCACATTATGTCCGCAGAATCGCTAAACTATTCATATATTTGTATTAATTTCAGTTATTTATTGAAAAATATTAAAATTCTTTGTAAATTCTATGCATAGAAACATCGAAACAATTTCACAGTTTTTTAAATATCTGAGTTTGAATTAATTTGTCCATAATAAAACAATTGCATGTCACACATTGATATTTCATGAATATTTTAAAATTTAAAACTGTTTTGATCACTCCCCGAAAAATATACAAGCAATAAAATTTAAAATAAAACTTTGTTAAAATGATTCTAAATAAAAATGTCTCAATTCAGTTCAGTTCAGTTCAACTTCAAAGCCCAGGCCAACTGTAATGTATAGTAATATGGTGACAATTTAGCTGTATCTTTACCTGTGACTGTAGTACAGTCACTGTACTCTTAAGACAGTTAGGTGTAAAACATAAGCATTGTTAGTCCTAATTATGTGATTCTCATTAAAGTCTCATTCATATTTTGAACCGAAAATATGTTTTTAAAAACTTTGTGAATGTAATTATTGATAACTAGACATACAGTACTGACATATTTTAGAAAAACCCAAATTTAATGCAAAATAGGCTAAAACGCAATCTTTAGAAAATAGTAAAAATATAAAAATACACAAAATGTTGAGATAAGATGTCTAACAAAATACGCACGATTTAACGATGTGAACGTTGTTTTCTCTCAATTTAAGAATATTCATATAAATAGAAGACAGACTTAAAGAATAAAACTTCAATTTCTGTTATTCACCTACTATAATTAATTTTTAAATGATTTAAATCTATAATTATTGTTTTTAAACTGAATAAACGTTAATTCCCGAATATTCCCGAATTTGACTGTTTTACTCCCGATTCCCGACCGAATTTGTCGTTTTTATTCCCGAATAATCTCTGCTCTATTGATAACTAACAAAACAACTCAATTGAAATGTAATTCTTACGAATCAAATTGTTAGTAACAAATGAGGCAAATGTTTGAATAACACTCTATAGTAAAATACCATTCTTTGTATGAACACAATTCGTTGTATGTTATAATTAGTATAAACCAAATCTCAATTAATTTTCAATTGTACAGTAAATGTAAAAATTATATTTTACATTAAGTTCGGTCATTCATCACAATATAATGCTTTCTGATTTTATAATACAGTATACGTGAGTCTATTGTGAATTTATTAGTAAATTATTGCAGAAATGAAAATAAATAAAATAGAAATGAAATAAAAATAGAGTTTATTACGAAAAAAGAAATATCAAAAGTAAGAGAAAGTAATAAATTATATCAAGAGTTTTAAATGAAGTTATGTTTGCCATTCAAACCATTGAAAGAACCAAATTATAAGTTATAAATTTTCAGTGCTCTGTGTTTTTGACGATTAGAAATATTATGCAAAAACAATCCAATATTTCAATATAGAGACAACTAAGGGATCGATTGTAACTACAGTTTAATGGCATTCAATTAAATTAATGTAATAATCGGCTCACAAATCATAGATTGATGTATAGGTTGTGAATTTCAATAAGTTTTTTCTATCACTACTCTTAAGCAGTGATTTTTAAAATAATTATTTATTAATTTATTACTTATGGAACTAATATTTTGACCATTTCGCATTTTTCATCTAACTACCTGGCCTATGGGTACCAGGAGGTTTCTCTAACACAAAACTACTTGATAAATTTTAATGTGCAATGGTTCACATAAACAAATATAAAGAAAGGAAATAGTAATATTTAATTAATTAAGAAATGTTTATATTTTATTAAAAATGCAATTAAAAAAGCACAATACAGTAATTAAGAGTGATTGGCTCTTTCAAATTATAAAACATCAAAAGCACAATATTGTACACTACTGTACACTGCATTACAAATCAAATAAATTCAACATTTAATGTTAAATATTTTGTATGAAAAAATAATTCGGAGTAAATTTAATAATTTATACATTTAATAAATTCATTTAAAATTATTTAAAAAGGGAAAAATGTCTAAAAAATGTCGTTTAAATGGGAAATAAAATAATTACAGTTTGGCCCCGAATTTGGCATTTCATTGGTGCTGTAAAAAATATGTGCCAAAATCGAGTTCTGCCAAAATCGAAAATTAGAAAATGTGCATAAAATCACATTTTTGAGGTTTAATTTACTTATTGGGACATAATTTTCAAAATTTTGTTTGAAGTGATGCCATAATCACTAAATTGTGGCACCATTTCATTACAATTCACTTTTTTGTCAATGAATTTAACAATTTTGTATTTTGTTTCAAAAGTGAAATCCCTTCTCCGCTTATATACCGACATTTTCACTCACAATTATACAAATGTGCTAAAATCGAAGCATAGATTATGCTGTACTGACAGTGAAAAAGCAGTGCTAAATTCGAAATCTGCCAAAATCGAAAATGCCAAAATCGGGTACACTTAACATTACAGTATGCATAGGGCTCGCCGGTGCTAAGAAAACCTTATGCCAAAATCGAAAAATGCTAAAATCGCGTGTGCCAAATTCGGGGCCGTACTGTATTCCCAAATTATAGGCATTTAAAACATCGGGAAATTTGTGCAAAATTAGATATTATTTTCAATACAATAACTACTAACACATAAAACACATAAATTATATTGAATTCAATTAAAATGCTATAGTTTTAAGGTTTAACGACTCAATGGATATAAAAATAGAGCAAAACATACACCAAATGATTGAACATTAATTAAGGCTTACTTTTGAATGAGTTTCGAGAATCTGTTCGTAAAGTTCTTTCTTATTGACCGACGAGTCCTCTAATAATGTATCAAATTTTTGGATC